TCGGGTGTGGGGCCCCGGGTCTCCTAACCGCTAGGCTACCTGCCGTCTCTGCAGGTTAGGGTCAGGTGTGGGCCCCGTCCTAACCGCTAGGCTACCTGCCGTCTCTGCAGGTAGGGTCAGGTGTGGCCCCAGGCTCCTAACCGCTAGGCTACCTGCCGTCTCTGCGGGGTAGGGTCGGGTGTGGGCCCCAGGTCTCCAAACCGCTAGGCTACCTGCCGTCTCTGCAGGTTAGGGTCAGGTGTGGGCCCCAGGTCTCCTAACCGCTAGGCTACCTGCCGTCTCTGCAGGTTAGGGTCAGGTGTGGGCCCCAGGTTCCTAACCGCTAGGCTACCTGCCGTCTCTGCAGGTTAGGGTCAGGTGTGGGCCCCAGGTCTCCTAACCGCTAGGCTACCTGCCGTCTCTGCAGGTTAGGGTCAGGTGTGGGCCCCAGGTCTCCTAACCGCTAGGCTACCTGCCGTCTCTGCAGGTTAGGGTCAGGTGTGGGCACGCTCCTAACCGCTAGGCTACCTGCCGTCTCTGCAGTTAGGGTCAGTGGGGGCCCCCAGGTCCCCTAACCGCTAGGCTACCTGCCGTCTCTGCAGGTTGGGTCAGGTGTGGGCCCCAGTCTCCTAACCCTAGGCTACTCCGTTCTGCAGTTTGGGGTCAGGTGTGGGCCCCAGTCTCCTAACCGCTAGGATACCTGCCGTCTCTGCAGTTAGGGTCAGGTGTGGGCCCCGGGTCTCCAAACCGCTGGGCTACCTGCCGTCTCTGCGGGTTAGGGGTCAGGTTGTGGGCCCCAGGTCTCCTAACCGCTAGGCTACCTGCCGTCTCTCCCAGGTTAGGTCAGTGTGGGCCCCATGTCTCCTAACCGCTAGGCTACCTGCCGTCTCTGCGGGTTAGGGTCAGGTTGTGGCCCCAGGCTCTAACCGCTAGGCTACCTGCCGTCTCTGCAGGTTTGGGGTCAGGTGTGGGCCCCAGGTCTCCTAACCGCTAGGCTACCTGCCGTCTCTGCAGGTTAGGGTCAGGTGGGGGCCCCAGGTCTCCTAACCGCTAGGCTACCTGCCGTCTCTGCAGGTTAGGGTCAGGTGTGGGCCCCAGGTCTCCTAACCGCTAGGCTACCTGCCGTCTCTGCAGGTTAGGGTCAGGTGTGGGCCCCAGGCCCTCCTAACCCTAGGCTACCTGCCGTTCTGCAGGTAGGGTCAGTTGTGGGCCCCAGGTCTCCTAACCGCTAGGCAAACCTCCGTCTCTGCAGGTTAGGGTCAGGTGTGGGCCCCAGGTCTCCTAACCGCTAGGCTACCTGCCGTCTCTGCAGGTTAGGGTCAGGTGTGGGCCCCAGGTTTTCGCTCTATCACATAAAGGGCAGGTACGGGTGAACAAACAGCTGAACCTGTGCATCACTAGTATGTGTGACCTCTTGACCTGTGCATCACTAGTATGTGTGACCTCTTGACCTGTGAGATGATTATGACCTGACACCAGGTCAACTATCAGGTAAGGTCACCAACGAAGGGTGGAAGTGTGTGTCACTGATAACGATTCCAACCTTAACACTGTGGTGAACACACACTCAACCCCCTAAAATAAAACACTTCCTCATAGATTACATTATCCATTGGTCACCATGGTTACTGGCCCCAGGACAGCCAATCACACACTGATAATACGAGTTTGGCCTAGATACCCAACATTCATTGATAACGCGCAGGATGGGGTTGTGTGTGTCGCCTCAGAGACAGAGGTTCTGTAAAAAATGCATGAAATGTTCCTGTGAAGCAGAATGAGTTCTTCCGCATGTTGAACTCATCTGACAACAACAGTAGTGTAAGACAGGGCATACTGCATCCCCAGAGAGAGAGAGAGAGAGATACGGGGAGAGGGAAGAGAAAAGAGAGAGAAGAGGGAGGAAAGAAAAAAGGATAGGGGGAGAGAGAGTTTAAGATAGAAGGAGAGGGAGGAGAGGAGGCGAGAGAGAGGAGGAGAAGAGAGAGATAGGAAGAGAGAGGGGAAGAGATAGGGGGAAGAGAGATAGGAGGGGATGGGAGAGAGAGGAGAGGAGAGAAGAGGAGAGAGAGAAGAAATGCTGTTCTTGGAAAGTAGTGTTAAGACAATTTTGGCCATACTGCATCCCCAATAAATAAGAAAGAGATACGGGGGAAGAGAAAAAGGGGGAGCTATACATTCTGCACTAACTTAGCTTCCATATCTGTCCAGTCACAACTACTGAACTCTCTACTGAATTCTCCTTCTCTCTGGCCTTGGTTGCTCTGCTCTCTGTGTGTGTGTTTTCTCTCAAATCAAATCTAATCTAAGTTTATTTGTCACATGCGCCGAATACAACAGCTGTAGACCTTACCGTGAAATGCTTACTTACAAGCCCTTAACCAACAATGCGGTTAAATAATAGAGTTAAGAAAATATTTACTAAAAAAACTAAAAGTAAAAAATAAAAAGTAAAATAAAAATAAAATAAAATATGAGGCTCCAGCGGGTCCCGGGTACCGGGGGTAATGGCTAATACAGGGATACAGTTAGTCCAGGTAAAAAGGAGGCTAATACAGGGGGAAACCGGGTCCCCGTCAAGGGCTGGGATTAGGTTAGCCCATAATAATGAGGCTATATACAGGGGGACCGGTACCGA